CCCCAAAACCCCAAAACCCCAAAACCCCAAAACCCCAAAATTATATTAATCAATTGATAAAGATTTTAGCAAAACAAAATGAGTGACATGGACAAAGACTGGATCTTTGATTCAGTAATCGCCTTCGTGAAAAGCCCCCTGTGGAAAGTACCAATTACTACTTTTATAAACGAGAACTGCCTTATTTTCGACCAAGAAGATGAGAACAAGCTGGAATATACTAGTGTACATAATAAGTTTAAGAAGATTGTTGAAGAAATGCTGACCAATATGCTCAATGAGATAGGTATATCGGAAGAGATCTTCGCAGAAGCGTGAATTAAAGCAACTAAAAATCCAACCCACCGAATGCTGCTCGGTGAGATCATGGCTGTAGAGAATTTCATGGCTTTTAAATAAGTTAATGGTGAAAAGAAATAAAGAACTTAGTGAAGAAGCTTTCCAGATCATGAAAGCCCATGAAGCAGGAATTGATCCCAATTTGCTATATGAAAACCAAAATTTCGGTGGTGCAAGAGAAGATGATGAAATCGCAAGAGCAATCCAGGAATCCTTGAAGGAAGAAGAAAGGAAAAAGGAAGAAAGTGCACCAGCACCAACTCCATCTCCAGCATCTGCTGAGGTGGATGAAGAAGAGATGATGAGAAGAGTCCTTGAAGAATCAAAGCGTGAGTATGAACAACTTCAAGCTCTTCAGAAAGTAGCTGCAGGTGATGATAAGGAAGAAGAGAAATCTCTACCTCCAAAGAAAGAGGAAAAGAAGGAACCAAAAGCGAAGCCTGCTCCTAAAAAGGAGGCTCCAAAGCCTTCTCCTCCAAAGGAGGAGCCAAAGCCAGAGCCTATCAAGGCTCCTAAGACCTTGGCTCCTCTCGGCGATGCCAAACCAGCCCCTCCTTCCAAAGACTTTGACATCCAGAAGCATGCTGAAGAGACTGCTAAACTAGAAGAGAAGAAGAAAGAGACCATCAAGAAGAAAGCAGTAAGTAATTCCTCCTCAAAATAGATGACCAAAGAAGAAATGAAGGAAAGAATGGAGAAGCTCAAGAAACAGAGAGATCTCCTTGTCCAGAAAAAGCAAGAACAGTTAAAGAAAGAATGGGATAACTTTGATGATCAAAAGGAAGGAGGTGATTCAAGAAAAGATATGATTGATAAAGGTCTGGGTGCGTTAGGAATCAAAGAAGGCGAAATAAAATACCAAACAGAAGAACAAAAGGCTATTGAGGTGCAGAGGAAGAAAGAAGCTAAGAAAAAGCAAGAAGAGGAGGCTAAGAAGGGATCAGAGTATGTATTTTTCACAATAGAATTATTAAATATCTGAATAAACTAACTCATATTCTAGATCTGCTGCAGAGGATAAACCAACTAAACCTAAATTCGAAGCCCCAGATATTGCTAAGGACGTAATTGAGAGAAGGAAGTTAATATTCAGCAAAATTAAAGAAATGAACTTAGAAGATGGCAATGATTTCTAATCTTGTGGCATATTGAAATAGGAAATATTTCAATAAAGTTAGTCATATACGGGGTTTTGGGGTTTTGGGGTTTTGGGGTTTTGGGGTTTTGGGGTTTTGGGG